TTATAAAAAGAATCACATTGTTAGCCTTATATAACGACTCAAAGTGTTAGTTTTATAAAACGACACAAACTGTTAGTTTTATAAAAAGAATCACATTGTTAGCCTTATATAACGACTCAAAGTGTTAGTTTTATAAAACGACACAAACTGTTAGTTTTATAAAAAGAATCACATTGTTAGTTTTATATAACGACTCAAGTTGTTAGTTTTATAAAAAGAATCACATTGTTAGTTTTATATAACGACTCAAGTTGTTAGTTTTATAAAACGACACAAACTGTTAGTTGTATAAAAAGAATCACGTTGTTTGCCTTATATAACGACACAAAGTGTTAGTTTTATAAAACGACACAAACTGTTATCTTTGGCTAAACCAAACAAACTTTAAACGCCAACAGCTGACATTTCAGTCAAACGACCTCGATTCACGAGTGAGAAAGCTAGATTTTTACCTTTGTTTGTGGGAAAGCACAGAGCTGCACAACGGGCTATATGTGCTTTGTATATTGCGGGTTTCGAAACTCGATTTTTAGTGTTGTAAACGTATTTAATTAACACTGAGCCACCAGGGGGCAGATTTTTATGAGCAAATTAAATACCCAAGATATGTAAAAATATATTCTCGTATTAATTATTTTTTATTCACATAACGTTTCATAACACAGAAAAACTCTGCTTCGGATATAGAGATTTGTACATTCAAAATCTCATCAGATGCCAATTTTATCACTTAAAAGTAATAATACGACTACGATAGTTTGAAATATATCAAAATTAGTATAAACACGTACGTAATTTTTTATTTTATTCCTACATTAAGGGAGGTTGTTAGCCTAAATAGTTCCTTATGTAATATTGTGCTAACACACATCATATTTATATTTATATCTAATCAGTTAACAACAACTAGCTTCATAAATATAAAATATACTTAAAATATAAACTCCAAAGCAGGAACAGTAAAATATATCCTAGTGAGAGAGGTATCTATTATTATAGGACTCACAAACGGTGGTGATACACCGTCTATTACATTAAGTCTTTCTTTATACAAAAGTCTCACTCGTGAAAATAAGTTGGTTTTGGCTTAGTTGTTCGAAATTTAAAAAAAATCCTTTGGAGGTAGAAAATCACAGTTACATTGCCGTATTTTAAGTATTTTTTTGATATAGATCAATACGTTTATATATATATATATATATATACATATGAGTAATTGAAAACTTACTGGTATTATTTAATCAAGTCAGACAATAGTTAGACACGTCATAAAAGTATTTAGGCTTAAAAACTTGATTACTTTTCATTTACCAACAATGATAAAATGTTGTGTTCTGATTTTACATTTTATTATCATTCGTTGTAGAGTCACTACTCCATTAACGGAGCAGGAATGGTGTCTGGATTAGGTACTGATAATGTAGTCGAGGTTCCATGCGATGACAGGTAAGGTTTTATCTGTGGCTGAGGATAATCTACCCAGCCATTGTGATATCAAATATTAAAGCATTTTGTAGAAAAAAAAGTGATGGCGAGTTTTCTGAAACTCTCTAACAGTTTGTGTCGTTTTATAAAACTAACAGTGGACTCCCTGCTCTATATACGCTGTTGAGATCGAACCCAGCATTCTAGCGTTATAGGTTCGTACCGTTGAGTTACCAGGTGATGACGTTTAAAGGAAGAGAGAAACTGTAATTATAGCAGAACGACTCAACGGGTAACGTTGTGGGGGTCTAATCTGGCAAACAAAAGAAGGCGAACGGTTTGTACATAAGCACCATATGACAAGATTAACAAGTAGAAGTTTATAAAAAGCTCGAGTTGACAAAACCAACAAACGTTTTAAGACAGCTTCCATGACAACAAAGGTAATAAAACAGTAACGGGAATATGCATGAAGGATTCATTTTTTAATGAATGAATTGTTATTGCAAATTTCTTCCAATGTTTTAATGGTTTTGTTTTTAATTTCGCGCAAAGCTACACGAGGGCTATCTGCGCTAGCCGTCCCTAATTTAGCAGTGTAAGACTAGAGGAAAGGCAGCTAGTCATCACCACCCACCGCCAACTCTTGGGCTACTCTTTTATCAACGAATAGTGGGATTGACCGCAACATTATAACGCCCCCACGGCTGAAAGGGCAAGCATGTTTGGTGTGATGGGGATTCGAACCCGCGACTCTCAGATTGCGAGTCGAGCGCCCTAACCACCTGGCCATGCCGGGCACCCAATGTTTTAATTTAATACACATACAAGTACATAAATATATGATGAAGGATGTTTATTACTGTTTGCCAGTGACGTTATTTTACACACAAAATGTGTAAAATATATCATTAAAAGCTGAAATGTATAAACTGTTTTAGAAAAGAATGCTTTAGCCATTTGTGTTTTTTTTTTGTCTGAGTAAATGGCAATAAGAGATCCCCAAAGAGAAGAAAAATCTGAATAAATATAATTTAAATTTTGCCTTCAGATAATTTAAAACTAATTAGTGCCCATAGTGTTAAAATATTCAAATAAGATTTTATGAAAGAATATGACGCCATCAGAGATCGTGGAGTAGGGTTTATGGTGATAATTAATTTTTAATAGTCTGTAAACTTAGAGTGTGTGTGTGTGTTTTCTTATACCAAAGCTACATCGGGCTATTTGCTGTGGTCCACTGGGGGAGGGGATTGAACCACTGATTTTAGCATTGTAAATCCGAAGACTTACCGCTGTCCCACCGGGGAACCTGTAAACTTAGAAATAAAAGTGATTATATTTATCAAACTTCGTATGGAGTCGTTAATTTTTCAAACATTGGAATCACCTGATAAGTTGTGGATGAGCTAATTATACTTACGTAAAGGAATGGAAAGTTGTTTTCTTTTCTTGACTTAATCGTCAATAGCTGATTCGTTAGTTTAAAAAATGATCCTCTACAATTGGTCGAGACTATTATTTATCAAACTTCGTATGGAGTCGTTAATTTTTCAAACATTGGAATCAACTGATAAGTTGTGGATGAGCTAATTATACTTACGTAAAGGAATGGATAGTTGTTTTCTTTTCTTGACTTAATCATCAATAGCTGATTCGTTAGTTTAAAAAATGATCCTCTACAATTGGCCGAGAATATTATTTATCAAATATGTAGTTGTGCATTTTAGGATGGAAGTGTCGCCTGGTCACATTTCGAAATTTATTCTGACTTTTTTCTCCTGAGAAGATAAATCTGAAACCTCTATTCTATGGCAATTTTTAAGGCCAGACAGCATTATCAAAAAAACACCTTAAAAACGCCTTCGCAATGATGACTATTTAATATAACAATAAAAATGCTGTAATAATTATGTTTATCACTTTAAACGACGAAAAGTAATTAGTTTCTTTCACCACTCCTTATTAAATCTTTTAGTCTACAGTGCTTCATCCATAAGACCACTTCAGATAGAAAATGGCATTTCACAAAGACAGCTAAGGATCACATAGAAAATGGCAATTCACAAA